AGTAGGATTCGTCGTAGTCAGTAGTAGTAGTAGTAGTAGTAGTAGTAGTAGTAGTAGTAGTAGTAGTAGTAGTAGTAGTAGTAGTAGTAGTAGTAGTAGTAGTAGTAGTAGTAGTAGTAGTAGTAGTAGTAGTAGTAGTAGTAGTAGTAGTAGTAGTAGTACTAATACCAATATTGCGAATAACATATTTTCATACTATTAATGATAATAGTAATATTATTCATGATGCGAATCTTATTAAGAATACTGATCATACTAGTAATACTCATAGTAATAATGCTATTATTAGTATCATCATTATTATTATGATAATAATACTACTAATAATCATAATGATACTCTCAACATAACTAATACTAACACTGCTACTAATACTGATACTAATACTAATACTACTACTATCACTAATACTACTACTAATACTAATACTACTACTAATACTACTACTAATACTAATACTAATGCTAATATTAATATTAGTACTAATACTAATACTAATACTAATACTCATACTAATACTGCTACTACTACTACTACTACTACTACTAGTACTAGTACTACTACTACTACTACTACTACTACTACTACTACTACTAATACTAATACTAATACTAATACGAAAACTAATGCTAATACTAATACTACTACTAATACTAATACTAACACTAATACTAGTACTACTACTAATAATAATAGTAGTAATAGTAGTACTAATAATAATATTACGAAGAATAATAATAGCAATAATAACAACAACAACAATAATAATAATAATAATAATAGTAGTAATAATAATAAAAATGATAATAATAATAATACTACTACTACTAATAATAATAATACTAATAATACTAATACTAATACTATTATTAATATTAATAATAATAATATTAATAATAATACGAATACGACTAATACTACTAATAATAAAGCTATGAAGATACTAATAATAAGCATACTAATAATAGGAGAGGAGGAGGAGGAGGAGGAGGAGGAGGAGGAGGAGGAGGAGGAGGAGGAGGAGGAGGAGGAGAGGAGGAGGGGAGAGAGGAGGAGAGGAGGAGGAGGAGGAGGAGGAGGAGGGAGGAGGAGGAGGAGGAGGAGGAGGAGGAGAGGGAGGAGGAGGCCTAGCTGCTGGAAGTTGTTGCTGGCGTCTCCCCCATCGTGCACTGCCTCGTTGCCCCTCGCGCGTGCTTCCCGACCACGAGTCGACGGGGCGGGCAGGCGACGGCCCGCCGATGCTGACCCTACGAGCCTTCGCTTCCGCGGGTCTTGCGGGCAGGGGGAGGGGGGAAAGCTTCTCAGCAGCACCCCTGGCGCTTGTCAAGAAGTAGCCTCCATCTAAGTAGCCTTCCCCCCTCCCCCTACCGCCTTGTGCGCGCGCGCCAGTCAGAGGAGAATGTGCCGATACCGCTGCCGTTGGGGACTCGCCTTCGCCTTCTCGGGCCTCCTGAGAGGCCCTCGTCGCCACGGCCAGATTTGCCCCTGGGCCCTGTTCAGAGCGCATCCCTCTAGATAGGTCCCGGGAGCAGCGGCATCGGTGCCTTCCTGAGATCAGACGGCGCGAAAAAATTGAGACATCGTAAATAATCGCAGCCGGAGCCCTTGACCCCATCTTGCTGCGACATTTCTCGACCTGGATCAATCTGTGAGGGTCCTGGGGCCCGAAATGATATGAAAACGCCCAGGTCGAATGAAAATGAGACGCCAGGATCTCAGGGTTTCTGCCTCCCCAGCAGGAGGCCGCGGCCGAGGGAGGAGCGAACAGCAGCTCGTCCTCCTCCAGCGACTCGGACACCAGCGACTCCGAGGCGCGCAGGCAGCGCGCCACCTCCTCGGAGGAGGAGCAGCCGGCTGCGCTGGCCCCCGCGGCGCCCGCCCCCGCCGGCGCCGCTGGCGCCGCCCGGGCGCCGCTGGTCGATCCGAGGCAGGCCGTCCACGACTACTCCGACGTTGTATGAGGAGCCCGGTCGCCAGCTCTTGCTCGGCGACTACAGCCCAGCCACGCGCGGAAGGGGGCTGGGGGAGGGGGGAAGGCTTCTTAGAAGCACCCCTGCTTCTTAGAAGGCGCAGGCTCTGTCTACAGGTGTAGGGCCGGCGCCGTCTAAGGACCAGCCTCCATCTGAGCCGCCTCCCCCCCTCCCCTGCCCCCTCGTGCGCGCTGCCAGGCAGCGGGTGTGGTCACGCCGGGGTGTGGTCTGCGATCGGCGCCGTTGGGGCTTCGGGGGGGTCACCACGTGGCGCCAGGGGTTTGCTGCGCCCTCGTCGGGGCGCGGCGGACATCCCTGTCGCGGTCCTCGCCCGCCCGCCACCCCCCGGGCGCGGGCTGCGAACCACACCCTCGGCGAGCCCCACCCCTCGGAGTCGCCGACTCGTGTGCGAGGGCCTCGGGGGCGCGCGCGCCTCGCCCGGCGGGGTCGGGCGCTCGCGCCCGCGCCTCCGGCAGCCTGGCCGTCCAGAGGCGTCCTCTCTCCCGCGCCCGCTCCGCGGGAGGCGCCCGCGCGCCACCGTCACGCCCGGGCGGGGCCCTCCCCGGGGGTGGCGTCGGGGGCCCTGTCTGGGCCTTGGCCAGGAGGGCGCGTGCGCCGTGCCTCGAAGAGCAGGCGACGCCATGCACACAGCTTTTCTCGGAGGCCCCGGCGGATGCAAGCAATCCGCGTGGACCTCCGAGGAGTTATGTCTATGGCGTGTTTTTTTGGTTCCTCGAACGCCAGGGCCCAGCATGGCCAGCCCTGGCTGGACGTAGTGGTGGTGGTGGTGGTGGTGCGCGGGCGTCTTTTGTACAGCCCTTGGCGTCCTGGCGTCATGGGGAGAACACGGCCAGCGTTCGCTGCCCCGTCACGGGCCCGAGGGGATCGCGTGGGAAGGCGGGGTCGACATCGAGGGCCCCAGCCGTGGCTTTTTTCGGGCCCCTCGTGATCCGTTTGCTACGCCGTAGGAGGGTGACGGCGACACCAACGACGGCGGCGACGACCGAAATCCGACGTCCGACGTCCGACGTCCGACGACGGCGACGACGCTGGCGACGACAGCGGTCGAAGAACGACGACGGACTGACGACGGCGGCGACAACGACCATGACGCCGCCGACGACGGCGACGACGCACGACCAGCGACCGACGACGACCACGACCACGACGACGACGACGACGACGACGACGACGACGACGACGACCACCACGGTGCTGGACGACGGACGACCGACGACGCCGCCGCGCCGCTGCCCCGGGTCATCGAGGGCCGCGGGAGGCCGCCGAGGTTCGCCGGGGGCCGACGACGACAGTTCGTGGGCGTCCAGGAGGGCGGTGATGGCCAGAGGGGGGGTCGGATACCATGGCCAGGGCCATGACGTCCCCAGGTCTCGTGGCCCCCCCTCTCCTTGCCTCAGTGCGTCCCCTGGGTCCCCCCCCCCCTCGCCCGCGCACATGCCTCTGGCCATGGCATCGCCCCGGACGTGTGCCTGTTTTCTCGGCGCGGGCCCTCGCGGCGCACCCTCGACCATCGGACCAAGAGAGGCACGCACGAGGCCGACCAGTGCGCGGGGAGAACGGGCGTCCGAGCGGCGGCGGCCCCGGATCTCAGGGCCCCCCTCGTCTGGTCTCGTGGCGTCCCCTGGTTTCCCCCCCCCCTGTGGCCCGCGCGCGTGCCGCGGGCCATGACTTGCGAACAAGGCCATGCTCGGCTGTTCGTACCTCGGCCTCCCAGATGTGGTCGGAGTGGATGGTGTCGGAGGATCGCGCCGCAGCGCCGATACACCTAGGGGGCCACATGCGAACCCTACCCCTACCCCCCGCGATTTCTGGGGGGGAGGGTGGGGTTCACTTCGTTCGGGAGCTCCCGAGCGAAGTGAACCCCACCCCCCCCCTCAAAAATCGTGGGGGGTAGGGGTAGGGTTCGCATGTGGCCCACTAACACCGGCACTGCGGCTCGATGGGGAGCCCAGTTTTCCCCACGCCGACGTCGCGGATGCATTATAAGCCGACGTCGCCGTTGCATCGCCGATGCGTCGGCGATGTGTCGGCGATGCGGCGCGATCCTCCGACCCCATCTACTCGGACCCCATCTAGGAAGCCTCGATACGCTGGTCGTTGAAAGTAGGTAGTGCTGGATTCCCAGATCACGATCTACTTCACGCGCCTTCCTACTTCAGGCGTCGACGTGCTTCTGCTGTGCTTTGCCATTGACTATCTGGGAGGAGGGTCTGAACCCAGTCTATACTCGATCCGCCTCCCTGCTCCATGCTTTCACCTACTTCTTCCGACCGACGCGCCACGCAGGAGCGACCCCGCCGCCCCCCCGCAGAGACCTGCGCCCGGGTGACCCGACCCGTGCGCGGCCCCCCTCCTCGAGAGGCGGCGCTGCCCCGGGGCCCCTCCTGCCCTGGGGCCCCTCTCTCCCCGCATCGCCGCTGCACCGCCTTTGCACCGCCCGATGCACCGCCCGATGCAGAAGACGCTGCAGCGGCGACCCTCCGAACCCCACCTCTTCGGGCCCCCAGCAGGGAGGCCTCCGGACGTGGGAGGGTCCCGCCGCCACCCGGCAGAGGGGCCCCATGCGCGCCCGGGGGGGCCCCCGACCCCCTCCCCTCGCCCGCCCCCCCTCCTCGGCGGCGACGACAGGGGCGACGAGCCCAGGGGCGAGAGCGTTACACGGGAGCCCTCTCGAAGACCGGGCATCGGGAGCCCTCGGCGGGGCGATAGGGGGCGAATGGCCCGGGAGGGCTCCTCGCCCCCATCGTCGCCTCGATTCCCCCCCCCCCCGAGAGGCCTGCGCGCTGCCCCGAGGCCCCTCCTGCCCGGGGCCCCTCTCTCCCTGGATCGCCGGCGCCGCTGCTTTTTTTCACGGCGTGGGCTTCCAGAGCGCTCTGGAGTGACAGTCAGCAGGAAGAATCCCAAATAATCCAAACATAGTCTGGGAACGAGTTCCCGATCATTTTGGCATATGTTTTATGATTATTTTTGGACTATTTTTCATTTTTCCTCGAAATTCTGCCTGTAGGAGGACGTGCCTGACCTAGCTCTTGACCCCTTTCACGGCCAGGTTTTTTCGCCCCGAATTCGAAGAGGGGATCAGCTACATAATTGAAAAACTCCAAGATTCCTGTGCCCGCCGAAGATGCATGAGAAACGCACTTAGAATATGATCGTAGATCTGCGGGACATTCCACGTATTTGTTCCTGGATTCGGCGGGAAAATCCATTCCGTAGTCGATCCCCTACTCGACGAACAGTTTTTGATTGCCCCGGAGCCCTCGCAGATCCCAGAGGCGTCGGACGCTTCTCTTCCTGCTGTCTTCTATACTCTCCGGCCCGCCTCGCTCGGAGCCCTCCTCTCCCCTTCCGGCGAGGGCCCCCCCCCGGGAGCCCGAGAACGGCACCCAGAGAGCCGTGCGCCGTGTTCTCTCTCTCTCTCTCTCTTGAGGCCGCCGGGGGGGTCTCGGGCCCCGAAAGCTGGAGAAACTGCAGCCCACCAGGGACGGATGCCAGGGATTTCGGGACCCATCCCAAGCAGCCGGCACCGATTGCGGCTGGGGTTCCGCAGAGGTCTCCTCGGCCGAGCCCGAGGAAGACCCCCCCCCCCTGCGGCGGGCGCCCCGAGGAGGCCGCGCGCCCGAGGTTCTCGCCTGCGCACGCTCTCGCGGGAGGCCCTCCCTGGGCGCGCTAACCCTCTCGGAGAGCGTGCCCCTCGCGGAGCGACAGCCCCGAGCACACGGCCATCGGACGCTCGTCTTGGGGACCTGCCCGGGGCCCAGCAGGCGGATCCTTTTGACGCTGGTTCGACCCCAGTTCGGCTCGAGTTCGACGCAAGTTCGGCTCAAGTTCGACTCGAGTGCGACTCAGGTTCGACTCCAGTTCGACTCAGGTTCGGCTCAAGGTCGACTCAAAATCGATGGACGTTCGACGCAGCTTCGCCGCACGAGTGGAGAGAGTGGGTCGAAGAAGGTTCGCAGAGCGAGCATCCAACAGTCAGCGCGCCCGGTAAGGACGCGCGCCTTCAGCCAGGGTGCCCTCGGTGTCCTTGCCTCTGCGGCCCGTCCTCTGCCGTTCTCACTGGTCCCCCGCCGCCCGCCAGAATCCCAACTCTGGTCTCCAAGGGTCCTGCGTCCTTGCCACTCGTCCTGAATACACGTTTCTTGACTGTACTTATGTTCTCTGTGCGTCGGCCACGGAAGGGCGGTGCGTACACCGAGAAACCTGATGGTGAAGGCTCCGTGGTGGGCGCTCTCTGGCCATACCGCGCGAGAATCGATGTACAGTGGGGGCGCGCATCAAGAAACCGTGTGCTTTTCGTCCTGGTATCCTGGGTTTCTTCGCTCCGCGCGCTGCGCGGTGACTTCCCGCAGCCGTTGAAGAAGCTGCTGCGTTCAGGGTGCTCCCGGTTTCCCCCTTGGCGCACCTCGCGTGCGGGTTTTCAGGGCTGGGTTTCTTGCGAGCGTTTCTTGCGGCGGCGCCCGCACTGCACTGTCAGATTTGCCTACTATATTCAGCGGGCGAAGAACGATATAAAATACACTTCTTCGCAGTCGGGGACACCTGCCCCTGGGCGGCTGGAAAATTTATACCCCTCCGGTGCCACCGTAGGGGTATAAACTTTCCAGCCGCCCTGGGGCAAGGGTCCCCGACTGCGAAAAAGTTTATTTTCTACCGTTCTTCGCCCGTTAATATATGTTCATGTCGGACGTGCACCTCCAACACCAGCACATGGTTCGGCGGCGAGCGAGGGGGGAAACGAGAAGGAGAAGGCCCTCCCAGAAGGCGGCGGGACTTCTCAGAGGCCTTCGCGCCCTCTGAGAAGTTCTCGGTGTCTTTGGGGAAGGCTCAGGAGGAGGAGGAGGAGGAGGAGGAGGAGGAGGAGGAGGAGGAGGAGGAGGAGGAGGGGAGGAGGGGGAGGAGGAGGAGGGGGGGAGGAAGGGGGAGGGAGGGGAGGAGGGAGGAGGAGGAGGAGGAGGAGGAGGAGGAGGAGGAGGAGGAGGAGGGGAGGAGGAGGAGGAGGAGGAGGAGGAGGAGGAGGAGGAGGGGAGGAGGAGGAGGAGGAGGGCAGGGGGAGGGTGAGGAGGAAGAGGAGGAGGGAGGATGACTGGATTAAGCCCACAGGCATCAACGATGCTGCAAGACTCCCACCTCTGCTCCCCCCCCTCCCCCCCTGGGCTCGCCGCCGAGTCACGGGCGCTGCCGCGGGGGGGGGGGCGGGGGGGAGGTCACGTCCCGTTTCGCGCCGGAGCGCTGCCTGGGAATGTCCGGGGAGACAGCGAACAGGCCAAAGCCAGAGCCAGCTCGGGCGGGGGTCAGCACGCGTCGCGACCTGCGTTGCGGGGCCGCGGGGGGGCGGGGGGAGGGCGCCGGGGGGGGGGGGGACGGGGGGCGGGGCGGCCAGGGCCCGTAACGCCCGCTGTCGCGAGCAATGAAAGGACACCCTGCGGAGGCCCTCTCGGACGTCCCCCTCTTAGACTTGCGTCGGGCGTGTGCCTCTACAGGAGGAACGCTCAAACATGGTAAAAAATAGTCTGGGGACGATTTCTTGTTCAGTTTTTGACCTTTTGGAGTATTATTTTGCGAGTACTTCTTAGGTTCGTCCAAGATCCGCCTGTAGGAGGACATGCCCGGCCTAAGGCCAGCAACGGCCGTTGTCGCGAAAAATGACGGGACACTCTCCAGAGGCCCTCTCGGACGTTCCCTCTCAGACCCCCCCCGAGCCAACGAGCGCCTCGTCGCCGCGGCCAGGTCGGGGCCCTGGCGCTGCAGAGGGCCGCGGGGAGAGTCTCAGGCGCCCCTGCCCGCCAGCCCTTGCCCAGGGGCAGGTTCGAGGATCGAGGATCGAGATTCGAGGTTCGAGGTTTCCGACTCCAGCGTCCATCTCCCCGACTCCTGCTCCAAGGCTCCCGACCCCGACGCCCATCTCTCCGATTTCTGCTCGCATCGCGTCTTCTGAGGGCCCCGGCCCCCCCGCGCTGCCCTCGTAGGACCGGTCCCGCTGGACCGACATCGCGCGCTCGCTCGCTCGCTCGCTCCCAGATCTCCGACGGTATGATTTTTTCAGTCCGGACGTCCTTCCCAAAGTCTCGGCCTCGGGGACCCGTTCCGGGCCCCGGGACCACCAGAGGCGGAGCTGTGGCGAGAAGCTGGTCTCGGGGAAGCGGTCGGGACCTCTGCGGCCGCGGATGACAAAAGTCAGATTGGCGGATGTCAGGTACTCGGGCGAGGCTAGGACCGGGCAAAATCATTCCAGAGCGTTCCGGAACGCTCTCTGGAACGGCCGCGGCGCCCGATACATCTTCCAGAGCCGCCAGATTTCAGAGATCCCCGATCTGTCCCAGTCCGATTTTGTTCGGTCCTTGCTTCGTCTCAGGTCGTTTTTGCCTGCTTCTGGGCTCCGGGAAGCTTCTCGTCGCCGGGACCGGGGCTGGATTCTCTTGCGGATTCTGGTCGGAATTCTAGACGCTTCGCGTAACCCCACCAGCCCATCCAGAAACGATGCCCAGGCGAGTCGCGAGTTGCCGTGATCAGGGATGTGGAGGAGCATGCAGTGGAATATGGGACTGGGGAAGCCGCCGTTCCCCAAGAGGGGGAGGGTGGAGGAGGAATCGGAGGAGGAGGAGGAGGAAGAGGAGGAGGAGGAGGAGGAGGAGGAGGAGGAGGGGAGGAGGAGGAGGAGGAGGAGGAGGAGGAGGAGGAGGAGGAGGAGGAGTTGGAGGAGGAGGAGGAGGAGGAGGAGGAGGAGGAGGAGGAGGAGAGGAGGAGGAGGAGGAGGAGGAGGAGGAGAGGAGGGGAGTAGGAGGAGGAGGAGGGGAGGAGGAGGAGGGGAGGAGGAGGAGGAGGAGAGGAGGGAGGAGGAGGAGGAGGAGGAGGAGAGGAGGAGGAGGAGGAGGAGGAGGAGGAGGAGGAGGAGGAGGAGGAGGAGGAGGAGGAGGAGGAGAGGAGGAGGAGGAGGAGGAGGGGAGGAGGAGGAGGGGAGAGGAGGAGGAGGAGGAGGAGGAGGAGGGGGAGGAGGAGGAGGAGGAGGAGGAGGAGGAGGAGGAGGAGGAGGAGGGAGGGAGGAGGAGGAGGAGGGGAGGAGGAGGAGGAGGAGGAGGGGAACGGGAGGAGGAGGAGGAGGAGGAGGAGGAGGAGGAGGAGGAGGAGGAGGAGGAGGAGGGGAGGAGGAGGAGGAGGAGGGGAGGAGGGAGGAGGAGGAGGAGGAGGAGGAGGGGGAGGAGGAGGAAGAGGAGGAAGACGAGGAGGAGGAGGAGGAGGAGGAGGAGGAGAAGGAGGAGGAGGAGAAGCAGGAGAAGGGCAATCAGAAAGGCCAGAGGACTCTTGGATGTCTCTTTCAGTCTCCTCGGACGTCTCTTGAGAGTTTCTCGGTCCTCTTGGGGCGTCTTGGGGGCCTCTTGGCTGTCAAAGGGGCCTCGTTGAGCGTCTTGGGTGCCTTGGGAGAACCTCTTGGGGCCTCCTGGGGTTCTCTTGGGAGTCTCTTGGGGACCTTGGAGCCTCTTGGGGTCTCCTTGGAACCTCTTGGGGCCCTCTTGGGGCCGTCCTGGGGCACCCTTGGGAGCCTTGGGAGCCATCTTGGGGCCATCTTAGAGGAGGTCAGTCAAATAAGGGGAGGTAGTAAATTGTAGTCCCCTCCCAGGAGGCAAACATGTATCCAACACCTTTGTACAACCAATGATTTTGCCTTCTCGCCGAGGCCTTCTTGGACGATCCCATCGGTCGCGGACCCCCCCCGTCCAGGTCCAGGGGAGGGGGTAGGGGGAGGGGTCCAGGCCCCTCCCTTCGCCCGCAGGCCGTCTCGCTCACTCCCACCCGCCCTCCCAACACGTAAGTAACACCCGAGGGAGTCTCAGTGGTGGTGGTGATGCTGCTATGGGCAATGATACTGATACAGATGATGCAGCTGCTGCTGCTGCTGCTGATGATGTTGTTGGTGATGCTGGTGACGACGATAACGATAACGATGACGACGACGCTGACGACGACGCTGACGACGCTGATGATGGTGATGCTGCTGATGATGATGATGCTAATGATGATGATGATGATGATGATGATGATGATGATGATGATGATGATGATGATGATGATGATGATGATGATGATGATGATGATGATGATGATGATGATGATAATGCTGATGATGCTGCGGATGGTGATGCTGATGCTGCTGCTGCTGATGATGATGATGGTGAGGATGAGGATGAGGATGATGCTGATGATGATGCTGCTGCTGATGGTGATAATGCTGATGTTGATGACACTGCTGCTAGTGATGATGCTGATGCTGCTGCTGATGATGTTGCTGATGATGATGATGCTGATGCTGATGCTGGTGATGGTGGTGATGATGATGCTGCTGATGATGCAGCTGCTGCTGATCAGGTTGTTGTTGTTGTTGTTGTTGTTGTTGTTGTTGTTGTTGTTGTTGTTGTTGTTGTTGTTGGTGATGATGATGATGACGCCACACAGACATATCCCATACACTGAAGTCGTCAGGCAGGACGAACGGAAACACAACGACACATCATAGTGCAAAACTTGCATCTTGGCTCTTGCGATGTCTGGACTGGCATGGTCTACACGGTACTGGGTGGTTTGCACAGACCTTTGAACATGCAGAGCAGTTCGTAGCCCCTGTTGGAGTCACGGATGTCACAGGCTTGCGATGGCCGTGAATTCTTATCTTGTGTGTAGCCACGGCTTTGCTACGGCTGAGAAGTTTGGCGTATTTTGCACACGGAGCCGTAAAGGGCTGAGGGAGTCAGCGGCAAACAATTCGGATCTTTGCGTAACGTCTTGGGCCAGATGCTTCCATCTTATTCCCTACCTAGGCTCTGCCTAGAAGGGTTCTTACTGTGTGGGCTTAAAGTGCCGGGCAGTGGAACCCGCCCCGGGTGGTTCCCCCAGGATCTGCCCCGCGGTTCCCCCAGTCCCCTGGGAGCTTTAGCTTTAGCTTTTGCTTAGCTTTAGCTTAGCTTTAATTTAGCTTTCGCTTAGCTTTAGCTTAGCTTTATCTTAGCTTTAGCTTAGCCTTAGCTTAGCTTCAGCTTAGCTTTAGCTTAGCTTCAGCTTAGCTTTAGCTTAGCTTTAGCTTAGCTGTAGCTGAGCTTTACCGTAGCTTTAGCTTAGCTTCAGCTTAGCTTTAGCTTAGCTTTAGCTTAGCTTCAGCTTAGCTTCAGCTTAGCTTCAGCTTAGCTTTACCGTAGCGTTAGCTTAACTTTAGCTTAGCTTTAGCTTAGCTTCAGCTCAGCTTTAGCTTAGCTTTAGCTTAGTGTTAGCTTAGCTTTAGCGTAGCTTTAGCTTAGCCTTAGCGTAGCTTCAGCTTAGCTTTAGCTTAGCTTTAGCTTAGCTTCATTTTAGATTTAGCTTAGCTTTACTGTTACTACTAATGCTGCTTTCCTAGGGGCTCCAACCCCTAGGTAGGGTCGCACTGGGATAATTTCTGGCGGCGGCGCGAGCCCCAGAACCCTGAGGTCGGCGAGGATTTGCGAAGACCACGGTGGGTGGGGTTGGGTGGGGGGGGGGAAATCGAGTGAGGCAAGAGGATCGCCTGCAGAGCTAGAAAGGGCTTGCTATACACATCCAGGGCTGATGACGCTGCTGGTGGTGATGATGCTGCTGATGATGATGCTGGTGATGATGTTGATGATGATGATGATGACAAGCAGAAGCGGATGATGATGATGATGATGATGATGATGATGATGATGATGATGATGATGATGAGGAGGAGGAGGAGGAGGAGGATGATGATGATGATGATGATGGTGATGGTGATGGTGATGGTGATGGTGATGGTGATGATGATGATGATGATGATGATGATGATGATGCTGATGATGATGATGATGATGAGGAGGAGGAGGAGGAGGAGGAGGAGGAGGAGGAGGAGGAGGAGAAGGAGAAGGAGCCGGAGGAGGACCAGAGTACTCAGGGGCGACGTTTTTTCTTTTGGGGGAGGGCGTCTCAATCGAGATCCCAATTTGTAGCAGTTGCAGATGCTTACCACGCGGTAGCATATTTGAAGAGGTCTAAAACGAGATCCCGATGTTGAAAATGCCCCGCCATCCATCCTTATGGCTGTTGGTCGTTGCATCGATAAGAAGTTAGGCAACCGAATATGCGCGGCGCTTAGACGAGAGCCACACTCTAAGAACAGTTTGCCCTCCCATCACTGCAGCTGTTTAGAACTTTTACGACGAACGTGCGCGGCGCTGGAGTGCGAGCCATATCGTGACAACGACTCGCGCTGCATCCCAGGAGCTGTCAGAACCTTTCAAGACGAATGTTCGAGGCGCGTAGGCGGGAGCCATACGTTGAAGACCACCCATCTTCGCTCAGGTAACTGTTGGAAATGCGAAGTCTCAGGCGAAACGCCTGGCCCGCCCTAATCACCAACATCTCCGGTGATGCGACAGCGAGGAGTTACATATAAGGAGGAGGGATGGAGGAGGATGATGAGGAGCAGGAGGAGGAGGAGGAATACGGTGTAGGGTGGTGAGGGATGTAGGAGGTGGTAGGAGGAGGAGGAGGAGGAGGAGGAGGAGGAGGAGGAGGAGGAGGAGGAGGAGGAGGAGGAGGAGGAGGAGGAGGAGGAGGAGGAGAAGAGGAGGTGGAGGTGCAGGTGGAGGATGGACGATGGAGGACGGAGGATGGAGGACGGAGGAGGATGGAGTAAGATAGGGGATGATGGAGAATGGTGGAGGGAGGGGGGAGGGATAGAGGGCGGGAGGGAGGCAGGGATCTGCCCCTGGGGCTCCGTTGCCGGGCACGTGGGGAGGCTGTCCGCCG